TAGGAAATTCCTGTATTTCAGGTAAAAAGTACTACTAATTATAAATGTGGATACTATTAATATTATAAATACTTTTTAGGAGAATCTTATGAAATAAAATTAAACAATTAAATAATAAATTGCCGTTAAAAAAATAAAAAAAAATAAATAAAAAATGTACACTTAAACAAGACAACATTTAATTTACCATAATAAATAAATTCTCTGTATCCTCATAGGACATATTTTGAAGAGCTTCTTGGAGAATTTTCTTTACCTTAAAGCAACAGAAATTATAAATGGAATATTTAGCGTTTAATTTATTGTACAAAAATGGTCCAAGAAACACAAAAAATCTTGAAATAAAAGTATGTTTTGATGATATAATTTTGGGGCAGACAATATCTTTTCGTCTTTTATTAGTGTTTTCAGTAATATATGGGAGCAATACGTGCTGTTTGAGGACTGTGGACTTAATGAATAATTGCCTTACAGTTAATACTTTACATGACTTATACAGAAGGTCAGTGGGGTAACGGAAAGGGCGGTAGGTAGAAACCTTTAGGACAGCTCGCTGGGGTCTTTCAATGATTAGTAAAGTAGTTTTAGCTATACCACCCCATGATGTAATGCAGTAAGTAATTAATGATTGGCATAATGCATAATAAACTTGCCTGATTATTTTAAAATCAGCAGAAACGCGCAGTTTTTTAAACACAAACATTAACTTACGGAGTCGGGCGCTTAGTGCTTCGATATGGTGTTTAAAGGATAGGATGTCATCTAATATAACACCTAAATACTTTATCTTGTTAGTAATAGCAATGTCTGGACATTTACACAGGTTGTTAGTAGGGTCAAAACAATGGTGAGCATATAGTTTAGGGTTAGATATAAATGACTTTGATTTCCGCATATGGAATTGCATAAAACAAGTTTTATCCGTATTTAGTGTTAGCAAATGATGTTGGAGCCAGTTATTTACTATATTGAATCCACGCTGTGTATAGTCGTATACCTCCTTGTCAGAGTTTGCAGAAAAGAGTAGAACAGTATCATCAGCATAGAATATGATATTTCCACCTTGTAAATCTAGGTTACAAAGGTCATTAATGTAAATCAGAAAAAGTGGTGGTCCTAAAATACTTCCTTGAGGAATTCCAAATGAAGTGCACTTCAGATCAGAACTGTGAATGTCACCTATTTTAACACATTGGGATCGGTCCTCCAGGTAGTTTTCGAGTAATTTAAGCTGTATGCCCCTTATACCAAGCGATTCAAGCTTCTGTAACAGCACAGGGATGTAAACTGTATCAAAAGCTTTCGCTAGGTCTAGAAAAATACCCACAGTTTTGTTACCCTTGTCTAGTTCCCTTGCTACAAAATTCGTAAGGTGATGCACGGCGTCAGATGTCGATAATTTAGATCTAAAACCGAACTGTGTTTTAGATAATATGGAATGTCTCTCCAAATACAAGACAAGTCTATTGTTAATAAGTTTTTCTAATATTTTAGATATTGCTGGCAGTAACGAAATAGGTCTATAATTAGTTATTTGTTCTTGGTTACCAGATTTATGTACCGGGACCACAACAGCTTTTTTTAAACACGTGGGGAATATTCCTTTTGTTAAACATTTTTGCAAAATGACCGTAAGCGGTGAAAGTAGAATGTGCCTGAATTGTTTTAGTATTTTGTTAGATATGTTATCACAACCAGTAGCACTATCGTTTTTTAAGCTTACAATTATTCTTTCAACCTCACTTTCATCCATAATATCCGGACATAGCTTCTAACTTAAAGGGCAACTCACGTGTCCCGCGCGTCTCCTCGCCTTAGGTCCTCGTCTAGATCGCTACTAAGGCGCGCTAGTTGCGCACGAGACAGACGTCCCGGTCACACACCACTAGAGAATATGAATATGTCCGTCTTTGCAGTTCACAATAAACCTCTGCGAATCCACACGGTATTGATTGCATCCGGGCTTTTTTTTATTGTGACTCGGCAAAATGACTGCACCGCGCCTGATGGAAAGTGCGAATACAGTCCAGAGATGAGAGTAACGGATGGAAAACACAAATATCTTCACTCCGTCACTATCATTTTGCCGGTCTGGCCAAATGCTTCTTCACACCACGTTTGAAGGACCCGATGTTATAGAGGGAAGGGAATACATGCGCCGGGAGTTGGTTCCACAATTTGATGGTTCGGCATAAAAACGAATTGCCAAACTTTTTAGTGCGGGACGGTATTGAACTGACCGTCTAACTGTGGCAACGCAGTCCGGCACGGGTGGTCCGCTGATGGAAAGGAGAGGAAGGGACATAACATGGGCTAGCGCCGGCTGTGCTCCCCTGAGAAGAATAAGTAAGAAACTCTAAGGCACAGGTTCCCAAACTTTTTGGCCCACTTAGGCAAGATAAAAAAGTTTCAGCGCCCACCACCACAAAAATAAGTGAAAACACTTATTTTTTATATTAACTTAACACAAAAAATCACAAGCAAAAAAATATATACGTAGTGTAGTTTATACAGATAATTCAGGATTTTCTTTCAAATACGGTAGCGCCCCCTGGACAGCATCAAGGCCCCCCAATTGCTACCGAGCGGAGGAGGGCGGTAGGAACCACTTTGGGAAATGCTAATGCTATGCTGTAGGGATTGCGGCATAAGACCATAAGCTCTATTTTTCTCAAATCGCTTACTATAACATCCACTGGGTAATGTGTAGGTAATCTTATTCATAACTGGGGACCGAAGTTATATAATCGTGCGGAAAAGGAATCTAGAAAAATAATCAAAAAGTTTCAAGGTAAAAAAACTTATACTACTTATTATGTAGGGTATTAGCCGATGCATCAAGAAACTCAATCTTCATCATTGTTAATAGCAATTAGTGAAAAACAATCATTATCTGGAAAATCAAGCCAACAGCAGCTATCGTTGTGATAACGATAATTCTAATTCGATATCGGGCTATATCAGATAGCTTATTATCTACCGTTATCTTTTGCAGGATGGTATAGGTAATGTTTTATTTGTAAAGAAATACCATTTTGTGTAGGTATAGCGTGTCAACTCTTTCTGTGACTTTGTGCTGACTCCTCCTGAAACTCGGCCAATTTTGTCAATTGTTATCGAGACGTTAAAATAATTTTCCATACAAATATTTCATACATAACCGACTAAAATGGACATGGATCTGCAAATTATCTTTGAAATTTTTTTATCATATCAAGTGACGGGACGAATAAGGTGGTAAGCGACACACCAGTCCATAGCAGTTACAGTATCCCTCAGAGCTTTAAAACGCAAAGATCTGAGGGCGCACACACACTGCACCCGTCACCGTGAGACATAAGTTGACAAGTCCCATGCGCCTTTTAATTTCATTAGCACCCTTACTCTTTAAAACCAGAACGTTGTAATGCTCACATTAGGTACATACTGCTTGGCGGTAGAAATAGTTAAGCTTATTGAAAAGGTAACAAATAAGGTAAATTGGTGTCGAGAGACGTCTTCATAGTACCGAACTATAGCAACCTTTAAGATTTAAATTCAATTTTATTCCGTTTACGATAAGTGTCCAAAGTGTACAGCTCGATGTGCACGTGAATTTACGTTATTTTAATAAAATTAATTTTATTAGTTTACCAAAAATTACTTTGTGTGCGATTTGTACTGAATCCGTGAGTGGCGCCTCTTGTGGATAAATAGTACACTAATCATCACTTATCAATGCAAACCCTTGACACGAACAATTCAGTATATATACATAATCATATCGAAAGATATCATATCAAACATATGAAATTATGGTAAATAGTCGATCGTGAACTTAATGCAGTACAATATCAACAAGAAGTAGTTACATACTTTAGTGGTAAAATTAGTTTATTTTAACACCCGTTTCTATTATTGCTTCGGAGTACTGCTTTACAGGTCAGGTGAGTGAGCACCGTAGTGCATAATATACAAGCATAGATTTAACATTCTTTTTAACTTAACACGTTTACCGTTTCTTTAGGTGATATAGGCCGATGACTCGGGAGCTCGCAAAGTCACTTTCCCGTGGCATTCTTTAGGTTTTTGACAGTTTGAAATCGAAATTTAAATAGCACCATAGATAGCCAAAACACATTCGGTTTTTTAAATTTCATTGGTTAGGATCATTCGGCGAACTATATTGGACTTAAAGGTGTTATTCTAGGCCTTATAGGTACTGTAAGAAAGTGACTAACACGTCATCACACCAGCCTTAAAGGCCCGACGCCCACTGAAGGGACGGCGTGGAAGGGGATCCTTCGGCATCACTACATGCAAGTGCACACTAACGGTCATTATTCCGCGGTGTCCCTAGGTACGACTCGGCGTTCTTAAGCATGCTGAAAACTATACTTATGGCGCGCGCTTTCGCGACGCGCCTTTAAAGTTACCAACCAGCAGCGGATCCGAACAGGCTGCTAAGGGCAAGAACGGGCGGCCCTTTTTCTCTCGCGTCTGGCCTCTCTTCAAGTCACTGCCTGCCCTAGCCCCGCATACCCGTATAGTCAAACCCGGCGTCCCGAAGCATCCCACAAGCTGCCGAAACATCCCCAAGGCTTCCAAGGCATTCCGGAAGCTGCCGTCTCGGCATCCCTAAGCATACCGCAGCTTTATTTTGCAGTTACGATCATTATCTTTGAAATTGAAATTATAATAATTGTCATAATCTTAAGGTATATTAATATTCGTCACCTAAAAATCCCTTGTCGACCCACCCGTCAGTGGGCGCCGGGTCTTAAAGTCCATAAGCAAGTTTCTTCAAAGGCGAGTTTGTTCTAACCGCCACGCTGATTAGCCGTCGCAGTAAATGCAATCTAATATGCAGGTTACCACAGGTGTTTATCATCTTTGTCTATCTGTTAATTGGCTTTCTGCAAGATAACAAATTTTCTTTGTGAATAAACGCCAAGGACTAAAGATAGGTACGCATTTACATGCATACACATATTTATGTTGTTGATTTAATCGTTTATCAAACCCTGTGTGATGTGCAAGTGTGTGTTTTTGCACACATCATGCAAGCAAATTAAGTAGCTGAGATTACCTATTCATGAATGTTGTTTTATATAAATTGTGTTTCGGAATTTAGGATTGTTAGTCAGTGTTTTTTGCATTTTGTGGATATATTTCTGTTACTTCTGAAACATAGTTTCCCAAAGTAGTTCCTACCGCCCCCCAATTGGCACTGAAGAGTCCTAGAGCCCCCTTAGGGAGTAGAGGCCTCGGAAGAAATCGGGGGGCGTTAATGCTGTCCAGGGGGTGCTACCGCATTTGAAAAAAATCGTATAATTCATTTAATTAATACATAAATAAATATTTGTAGTGTAGTTTATATCTCTTATATATATCTATACACAAATATAATTATATTTTTTGTCCTTGAGATATTTTTTATACTTATTAATATAAATATACGTGTTTTCAATTATTTTTGGTGCTGGTGGGCGTTGAAATATTTTTAACTTGCCTAGTGGGCTAAAAAGTTTGGGAACCTATGTTCTAAAATTTGATGCCTTGTAATTAAAGACGGTATTGAATGCAATAACGATTTATTTCGTTTCATTACAGAAATAGATATGGTGAAATAGATAGTTCTGTAAATACGCTATTAAGTCCATTTTTCCGTCATATCGCTCTATTCAAGTTCAAGTGCACTCGAGTATTTATGAAGGATATAATAAAATGGAGAAGTTTCTAAAATCGATATTCACCACGTCAGAGAAGAAGAAGACTTTTACATTTGGGGAAGACGAGAAGAATGATTTTACCCCGCCTTTTGATGAACGAAGAAAGCTGTCCATTTCTCGGTCGGGAAAAATGAAGCAGGCCAACAAGATACGAAATACTTTGTCTACGGATCTTTATGGACAGGTAAGACAGTAATTTCACCATATCAGTCTCCGTGGCCGAATGGTTGCCGTGCTACTCAGCTACGTAGAGGCCCCGGGTTCGATTCTTGGGCCAGGAGAAATATTTATACTAAGTACATTAATTTCTCTCATGAATTTGAGTGTAACTTGTGGTTGTTTAAGAACCTTGTGCATACACGGCGTATTTTATGCGCGTCGACGACGCGCAGATGACGCGCGTATACGAGATGCAGTAGCAGCGAGTAAACCTTTGCACACGTTCACAAATTCGAACGCGCTTCTCCCTCTTGTTTGTATCGTGTTTTACGCGCGTTTGAGTCGATACAAAGGCAACAATCTTTTTGGGCCTCTACGGCGCCGTAAAACGCGCGTCGTCGGCGCGTATAAGATACGAGCCCTGTACCCCACCCACGGTGGGGTCGGGCTCGGCCTGCGGCGCGGGGTCGAGTTCATTACGGGGTGTGCTCAAGCTCCTCGATGGCACAGCCGTTAGTACTACGGGCGCTTAATGAGGAGTTCGATTCCCGATTTGGGCCAATTTAAGAAACGAACACTAAATTTCTAAGTTGATTTCGGTCTGCGTATTCTGGGTTATCGTTGTTTCGATATTCATAGTACAGGAAATTCGGCAGCAGTTTGGCATTTTTTCCCCCTAAATACGTCTCTTTGGCATAGCTTTCAAGAAAATGGAATCTAACAGAGAGACGATCGAGATACAACGACGCTATAATAAGTATCTCATTTCCACTACATCGGGAAGTATGCCTTACATTTTTACAATTGTGAGATCTTATACTCGTAATTTTTTACGCCTCCGTATATTATCTCCATCGCGATAGCGTGCATACGCTTCGGGCCCCGCTCTCCGCGGTCCTCGGCCTACGGCCTCGGCACTTATCACTTTGTTTTAAAAAATTGAAATAACTCTTTAATGGCGGCCATATTAAAAATTGCAAAAATATGTTTTTTACCCATTGACTTACAATTATATGGACGTCGGGTCCGCGGTAAAAAGTGTTCGAACTTATAGGGCGTTAAAATCGTATACAGAGCGTCATTCACGCTTTAGTCTTCGTTTGTTCGACTGACAGCGAAGCAAGCAAAATTAGACAGTATTGCGATGACATTCCAATTTAAATTCAACGTTTTAGCTTTTGCATATTCCTTTACATGTCACTACGTTTAAATAGGTTGACTTGGGACATATTTTTTCGTGGTTTTTGTATTAGACCCGTCGTCCATTTATTTGTAAGTCAATGTTTTTACACTAATTTTTATCAAACAATCTTAGCAATCTTTTCGTGCCAATTTTTAGTCCAAGCAAAGCAAATTTTTTCAATAGCCATTTACATAAAAAATTACGGTTATATCGAAAAACGGCGGAAACAAAATTTTTACTCGAAATTATGATTGAAGCCATGCCGACACATATTTATGTTGTTGCCATGCCAAGCCATATTGAAAAAAGGCAAAAAAAAAATTTTGACCGCAAATTATAATCAAAAACCTATAGAGACCCCTACATACCGATTTTCAGTTGAATTAGACCTAATTTTTATAAACGCTTGTTTGGCGGCCATATTCAAAAATCACAATTTATTATCAAGCACTCCTAAAGAACCCCATATGCCAATTTTCAAAGGGATCTGAGCAATTTTTTTTTCTGCCGGCAACGAACGCTTCTATGACGGCCATATTTGAAATTGACGAAAAACTAATTTTGAGCACAAATTATTATCTTCTCTTCTTCTAGAGGCCTTCTTATGCCAATTTTCAGCCGATTCAGAGCAAATCTCTTTCGGCAGCTATTTTTAATGGAAAAAACACACAGCAGCCATATTAAAAATAGCGAAAATAAACTTTTGACCCCAAATCATGATTAAGGACTCCTAAAGAGTCTTGCGTGCCAATTTCCAGCCGGATCGAAGCAAGTTTTTCTTTGGCCGCCATTTTTAAATCGCCATCTTGAATTTGTTTTAACCTAGGCAGTTGACCAGTGTTACTCTATGATATTCCTTCCAGTACCTCCTACCTATCTCTAATAGTTTCCGTGATAGGGGACTTTGAAATTTGTATGGCGGCCATCTTATTTATTTGAATTTCGAACATTTTTTACTTCCCGCAGACATTGACTGGAGTGTACTTCATAAATATATAATATACTCTCTCCGTATATTATAGTTTTTGCAGGCCGTTGATCACTCTTTAATATTTTCCATATTCAGGTCCTATCATATTTGATTCTTTGCTTTGGAGCTTATCCGCGTACAACAGTATAAACATTTTTTTTGTGAGTGAGTAAGAACTTGTAGCTTTATATATATATATATATATATATATATATATATAATAATAATGCCGTGTGTATCGGCTCTTCTGTCTATGTCTACACACATAGACAACCACAAATTACATCCAATTACACCTTCTGCCATGGCTTCCACCATACAGAATTTCCCCAGTGCGGGGTTAAAAGTGTGTGGCGTTAAAAAAAATCTTGGGAAAATGACAACTTCATTTTACTTTTGGGCTTCATGATTACTTACGCGATAAAAAAGAAGATACGATATCATAAAACGCCTGATGTGACTGAAGCATCGTACTTGACAGTGTCTTTTGATTTGGTCGAATATTACTTATTTGACAAGCTATGATATAACCGTCATGCAAACGCAATAAGCGATTGCATCGATGAAATCGCCTATGAATCACAAGTATAGCGATGCAATTGCGCGTTTGTATCAATGCAGTTGTGCGTTTGTATCGCTGCCTAAAATCGCGCGCGTGTAAAGGTAGACAGACGATTAGCGACTGCGTCGCTACTGCATCGCGTTTGCATCGCTGCTAAAAACCGCTCTATAATCCCACTTGTGCATGCTCTCCTTGCTTGGGCCAACTTGGGTCCGCGGCCTATAGAGACTTCCAAGTTTGCCAGGGTAGATCATGCCCATGGAGAGAGGGATAGGGAGGCCCGTGGAGGGCTCCGACAGCGAAATTGGTGATGTCGCGGGGTATTTCTCATTCCAGAGACTTATTTGGGCTTGGTTGGTTTCCCCGTTCAAAGGGTCGTGGAAACTAACCAAGCCCATATACGTCTCTGGAAGGAGAGAAATCGCTAGTGTCGCGATGCAATTGCGTGTTTCACAAACGCGTGTTTGTATCGCTGCTAAAAATCGCTGTGAGTAATGTAACGTGTGTAACGGTCTTAATAATAATATAATAATGAAGCAGATTATATTAGAGCAGTGACATTTTCCAAATCATAATCTAATAAAATTTAAATTTAAAACCTGTGTATTTATTCGCAGAACGATTTTCAACCAGTGGAAAGGCCGAAAACGCTAGAATATCACGTGAATAATGCATTCAAATTAGCCGACCAGGACACAAAGAAAAGCGCCGACAGTAAAATTGACCAAGCTGTCGATAAGAGTGAGCAAAACAATAATAGTAAAGAATTAACGCCGGAGGAACAAATTGAGAATGCTTTTGATGTTATTGACAAAGCGTCGTAGCATCAGTTAGTTCGATTTTGGCAGTATTATGGTGTTGTGTGGAATAAAGAAAAGGACCTTCACCGTGTTGCGGAATTTTGAAGAATAACTATATACATGAGTTATATATATATATATATCATGTCTGCGGACACAAGAAACGTTGATTTAAATAGTAGATACTAGCGCTAACACGTCGTCGTCTTAAAGTAACTTATCAGGTATTATTATATAGGCATTTCGTGATTATTAACTAAACCATTGCTATTAGTTACAGTTTACCACATAATTTTTGCCGATATTTTAGAGCAGTTACACGCTTTATGATCACTGGTTAAGTGACAAGCGGCAGTTGACAGTTTTAACGATAGATATACTTGTCTACCCTCTTTCGTTGTCGACGCGCAAAGCGCACAAAGCGACGCTGAACACTGGTATATACCTTCAAGTATTGTTGACGTATCATCACTACGTACCGCGGAGTTCGGAATTATCAAGATAGGTACCCCTTACCTTTTCCAACAAAAAAAGAATAATCGAAATGGGTTTTGAAATGTCGAAGTAATCGCTTAACATTCTCACACAAAAATACAGTTGAATTGAGGATCTCCTCCTTTTCTTGAAGTTGGTGAAAAATTACGAAACTTTGCCACGACATTGCTAGCAGTAGTATTTTGTTATTCAAATTAATCGTGACTTTTGGTTACCACCTTTAGTGAATCTTTAAGGTGGTGACCATAACTGAGTAAAATGTCAGAGCCAAAAATCAGTCTTAGTCATCCGACATTTTGACTGCGAATGCGGTGCACAGCCGAGTACAAAGTTCTAAACGAGCATTGATGCCGATCACTCGACAAATGCCGTAACTAGAGGTGGTCGTTTAAATGAAAAGCACTTAAAAAAGTTTGCGTTTTAAAATAAGCACTTAAGCACGCTTTTTATTTTAAGCGTAAGCATAGGTCAGGCCAAGTTCAAGGTCAAGGTACAAGTCCCACCATTTGTGTTTCCTAAACAAATTACCTAATTCGTCAATGTGAACAAAAATTTTATAAATAAAAATAAAACTTGTGTTTTACAAATAAACTTACTTAACTTAAAACCTTTAGTGGTCTATTCTTGCTTTTCGCTATCAACACAACGTCTACGCGCTTAAACGTTTTTCTAATTTTTTAAGTTTCAAACTAATAAGCGTTTAAGTGAAAAGCATCTAAGAAAGCACGTTTTTTAAAAAAAGCTACTTTTAAACGTTTAAAAAATAAGCAGTTTTTCCCATCTCTAGCCGTAAGCACGTTAGCTTGCCGCGCAAGGTACGTCACGATAAAGTGTTCGGTCTATCAGCTTTACAATGCTATTTATTCGCTGGTTGGCCAAGTATTTGAAAGTTCTGCAGTGATTTGGTGCTCCAAGACATCTTCCAGGGTCCATTTGCCAGGTAGGAGGAGAGGGTCCTCTCTCTTTGTACATTTTTTTTATTAAAGGGTGCACTACACATGGTTGTTTAACGTGCTAGGGGTCTTTAGACGTAGAAGGTTGGGAATCGCTGATCTAGAGTAACAATATGAACTTAGTGTACCTTTATTTTAAAATGAATGTATTTAAATGATCATTTTAAAATTGCAAAAGCAAATCTAAACGGTCATCGTTTTTAATTATTGATCCTTGTTTTCTGAGATATAAAATAAATTGAATCCATGGATATTTTAATGTGTTCTGAGGTACGCAAAAAAAATGTTTGTATAAATTAACTTTCATAGTTTTTATGTTGGGCCTCAAAACTAAGATAAATGAGCATTAAAAATAAAATTTTGATACCTATTTTTAAAACTAAGTAAATGTTAATTATATTTGTATGCTAATATTATATTAATTATAATATAATTTGACCTGAAAACATGCCCGGAAACGCAAGCAAATTTGCTTTTGCTTGCCTAACCTAACTTACTGAATGGAGGGCGCAACCAAGCAACCAAGATTTATTAGGAGATCAACGACAAAAGATACAATGATTACTTATAAGGATGTCATCAACCGTTAAAAGAAAAGACCAACGATAAAAAAAATTAGGTCAAGTATTATTTATGAATACCAAATATTAATTTAGTATGCTTTAAGCATAATGACAGTGTTACCTTGAAAGCAGTTCATGTATAATTTATCCGTAGATCAATTAATAATAAACGGAACAATTTATAAATATAACAAACATTTAAAAACATCGTTTATTTAAAAAAGTGCACATTTACAATATATATTATATATTTGAAGATTAAATAACATTATCCCTTTATAAAATAAGAATTAATTCAAAGATTAAGAATGGGGCAGATTGTGATTGTGATTTGAAAAATATTTTACTGTTGTTTGTGAACATTATTCTAAAATAAAAATACCAAATAATGGTAAACTTGAGAATGAATAACTTATCAAATGCCTTATTTATGCCGATGATCAAGTACTTCTAGCCTCGTCGGCAGAACGATTGCAAGAGATGGTAACAGTTATGCATGAAGTTTTGAAAGGAAAGAAATTAAAGAGTTACAGAATGCGAGATTAGAATTGGCAGCGAGAGATTAGAACGGGTGAAAGAGTTTGTGTATCTAGATAGTCTGTTGACAGGAGATGGTAAGTGTGAAAGAGATATTGAGTCAAGTCAAAGTCAAAGATTATTTATTCCATAGGTAAAATAAATTTACACTTGAAGTGGAGAGTGAATGGAACCCTGTATGCCGTAATGGGTAGCCAGAATGTCTCAAAGCAGGCGCTTTTGGCTGTTCATTCATGCTGGTCCCAAACCTAATGTATGGTAGTGAGTGTTGAACGGGGCAGAAAAAATTCTTAAAGATAGAATGCCAAACAGTACAGTAATGGAGCATTGTGGTATGAAAGATGATGTAGTGACAAAGACAGTGAGAGATACTTCGATGGTTTCGTCATGTATAAAGAATGAATGTTAGTGCATTGACGGCACAAATGGAAGCGTGCAGAGAGGTAGACCTCGGCGAACATATCTCAATCAGATTGAGGATGGCCTTAAATAACGCCGGGTAAAAAAAGGGAGTGAATGAGGCAAAGGCTTGTCAGGAGCGTAACAAGTGGAGGTCCATAGTCTCTGTCTATCCCGGTGGGAGACAGGCGTGATGATATGTATGCACAATGGTAAACATAAGCAGTGTTCGGAGTGATAATTATCATTATAATTATCACCATAATTATAATGATAAATGTACCTTGATAATGATCTCGATATTTACAAAATTACTTTGAACAATAATATACTACCGTTAGCAGTGTCGTGCCATTTGTTTGTTTTTGTGAGTATGTGTCCGAAACGTATCAACCTGGCGATGCGCGACTGCGAATGATTTCGATATTCGACTCGTTAGTCATTACTAATCCTGTCATTCGAATGACAAATTAGTAACCTACTAATTTTCATATTCGAATGATCTGAATGATCTCCATCATCGGCGTATACGGAGCACGCCAACTCTCCCGGTCTTGTGCCGCCCGCATCCACAGCCGGCCACCTTGCTCTGGTTGTCCGTCCATCTTGCCGCAGGGCGTTCCACGTTTTCCTTGACGTGGTCGCCATTCTAGAACAAGTCTGCTCTATCGGCGATCAACCCTTCTGCAGACATGTCCGGCCCACTGCCACTTACTAATTTTGCGAGTTATGTCAGTCACTTTAGTTCTTTGACGTATGACCTCGTTACGGATTTCATTCCTTACTAATCCGCAGATTCCACAGAACATTTCTGCCTAACCCTCACTAACACATCGAAAATACCGTAAACGTGACAGGGATAGGGATATTTCGATTTGAATATGGTGAATGGTTCAAAGTTGTTCCGACATAATAACCATTTCATTCGTGCATCTGATCGAATGGCAGGAGGGTCATTCGGTATCGGTTATCTTTCGACTCGAGTCAAATAATTGTGCTTAACGGAGTCGGCCTTGCCGTCCGCCGCGTAATGCTGGATTATGAATGTAGTCGCACCGTGCCAACCATCCTGTAATGCGTCTGCGCCTGCGTGCGTGTAATGTAGACTCCTACGTGGGCCATATGCAGGATAGTGTGTGAGCAGTCTCCTGCCTGCGCGGCCGGACTGCCATGCAGGTAGTAATAATAATAATAACGCACACACTCAACATAGCCCCGCACTAGGGAAACCCTGGTTCGCGGGTGCCATGGACACACACATTGACAATCACAAATTACACCCAAACTCACGAGAGAAATAAATGTAGGCCGTACAAATATTTCTCCCGGCCCGAGAATGGAACCTGGAACTCTGCGTGGCAATCCGGCGTGGTAACCGTTCGACCACGTAGGCAGTTAAAAGGAGTAGTGAATGAGCTGTTTTAGGCGAATGGTTAGCCCATTCGAATAATTAGTGTTAGTAACATACAAAGTCGCGTATAGCTAATCCAAACGTGTAAAATGTCAATCTCGAACAAAAGCCGTTTTCCCAAAAATTTTTTCTAATTAATTAGTTTTCTCACTAGTTGTCGCATTTAGTCAAAAATTATAAAGACAAAACTATGAATCAGTAAGGATAATTATTACGATAATTATCAAAGAAAATAAACGTCTGATAATTTGGAACCCTAAACTGTATTCGCGGGGACGACATACCCTTGCATATTTACCGACATCTTTAAACCTATAACATATTTAAGAACCTTTTTTCAAGTAGATAAGAGTAAAAAATAGGAAATAATTAATACGCAGCGTTTGTGATTGGTGCTATAGATTGTCCTATCAATCAATCAATCGCTTTATCTTATTATTGCATATATAACTAATGTATAAATCGACAAGCTAATCGTTTGTTTGACTCTAGGATGTACTTTTAAGCTACAGTGTTACATTGTGCAATACTATTGTTTCAATTCTAATCACATATCGTCGGGGATAGTGGAAATACGCGTATGTAGCATTGGTAAAAGGCGCGTATCTGCTGTAAACCAAATTTTACAAGAGAGGGATGTAACGTTATTACTTTGTTATTTCTATCGCTACGACTTTCATTTTTGCACAGTAAGCATTAATTTATGTTGTCTACGGACTGATAACAATAGGTTTCTGTAAATCACGCCAATTTCATTTGGTCACAAAATTACCGAAATGGAAACACATAATGAAATGCTAGTTGACGCGTAATTGCACTATCTCCGACGATATAATTATTATTTTTATTGTTTTTTATGAATTATGAAAAGACTGATAACAATGATGTTGAGTTATTATTTCCACCCTTTCATAAAACAATATACTGTCGTTGATAAAGCAATTTGAGCACTTACGTGTGATGTACTAAAATCCGTTACCCACCGTACCGAAATCGCAAAGAAAAATCTGCGGATAAACCTATTCACTGGATGTCTGGGAATTTTTAAGAGATGGATAGTAATTATACCTTAATGATATGACATTACAATTGACATTTTAATGATAATGGTCGTAGCTACAAAAACCAACAAAACACGGAGGTGTAGGTACTCCCGCTCTTCGTCTGACATCCTTCCGAAACCAATTACAGTCAAATAAGTAGGTAATACTCGTTCACTTGAAAGACGCATGATGCGATTGGAGCTTCATATCTGACATAGTATTCTGAGTTGGTCAAGTATTAGGGTGCCTGGTCTAAGATGACGCATTCGATAAGAGTACGCAATGTACATTGCCGAGAAGTTATTTACAATACGCAAATAAGTTCAGTGTCATTTTGTAGTGCTAGGAAGTGGAGTGGAAATCGCCTAAAAACTCGTCTAGAGGTCAAACTGCAAACGATTCTGGTCACTTGCAACATATGGGGTTAGTAGCAGTTTTATTCTGAAATGGCTGAAGTGTGAAAGAGTACGCAACTCGACGTGTTGCGAGAGTACGCGCGTAGTCTCAGACCATTTATTTACAATAGTGTGCTTCTGAATTAAATTTCTGTCGCTGTCCCTCGTTCTTAAATCAAGTGAAACCTTTTGCGAGAGTCTAGTATTTTTAAAGGGTCAACATACCTGAGGCATGTGATGCGAATCTGCCTGAAATATCGGCTGCAAGTGCGCCTAAAGCTCCACCACCATTCTAACTGGGGTACGTCCGTGGCACGAGTAGACTCTTCTCAGCTCTCCATGAGCAAAGGGCCATGCATACGGAGACAAATAATCACATTACCAGAAAGGTATGGAGGTGATTCGTGCAACCGATAAACGAAGTCCTATCAAAAAAGGTGTTGCGTACTCTTACCGACGCATATTACACATAGTACAGTGTAAGAGTACGCAAATCCCATTTTGCACTTTTTTATCAATTACAACCAGATTATTAAATATAACTACTTTTCTCGTCAGTATTTAAGAGTCAGATAAGCAGACTATAAAAGAAAACAATAGCTGATTTTCTAACACTTTTTGTTCTCACTCTACGCCGTCTCAAACCTTAAGTGCGTCGTCTTAAACCAGGCTACCCCACTTATTTGACAATAATTGTTAAGGACGGATTTTGAATGGAGAACGGCTGTAGACCCATAGACTGTACCCGCAAACCTAGACAAGCCTGTTTTTATCTTTACCATTGTTCTTTATGTCATAAGGTTTTTTATACTATCAAGTGAGAGACGAACAAGTTGTGCGCCTGGTGTTGAGACACGCCTGTCCATAACGTTGCAGTGCCATTAAGAGATTTGAATCGCAAAGATCTGAGAGGCACTGCCACTGCGTCTGGCACCCTGAGAAGTCTAGTCTAAACTAGAAGTTCAGTAGCAGTAGACCTCCTTGTGAAATAATGCCACCTTATCCATTTTTGCCGCCAATCAGTAATATGAGCTTTACTGCATTACGGTTTTGACGGGTAAGGGAGCTGGTGAATTTAATAGCATATGGGACTTGTTAAATTATGTCTCAGGGTGACAGGCGCAGCGCAGTGGCAGTGCACCTTAGATCTTTGTGATTTAATGCTCTGAGTGGGACTACAATTGTTATGGACAGGCATATTGCTTGCCACCAGGTTTCACCCATGACTTGTTCGTGTGCCTGTCATTTCACCAGCACCATTTTTACCTTTCAAAATTGGAACGCAGTAATGCTCACATTAAAGCGCGGCAGAAATAGGTAAGGTGGCAGTACTTCCCTGGACGAACTCTTTCATAAGGGGTTCTAAGGCTCTAAGGTAGTTTGTAATGTATTTACTGTATTTCAGCAAATAAACGAGTTATCTATCTATCTTAGGGATACCGAACCGGCAGCCTTCGGAAAACCGCGTTCGGGAGGCTTCAGAAGACCATTCCTCCAAATTATTCTTGAAATATGGTACTTTTTCTCTTCAGCAAGACTACCATTTATAAATAAACTAGCTTTCAAAGTTGAGAATAATCTGAAGAGAAGCTAGGCGCGAGCACGCTGTGGCGACCGCATGCTTTGGTTGATTCTGCATAACAAGTGAGTGTTGAATAAATCACTTTGGAAAAATATGTTGTAAAATTGAGTGAGAATATATAACTGATTAGTATACGGTGTAAAAACACGATTTCTAAAAATTTTCACGATAGAAAACAAAACGCAAACATCTCCAAATACAAGAAAATCGCTGTATTCAATATGGTACTTTACATACCAATGATTTTTTTTTAATATCAACTGAACCAAATGGAACACGTATAGTATACGGCATACATTATTCAAATGGCTTTAATTCCGTTTGTAAGAAAATTAATTCTGAAATAAAACTAGTGTCCCTGCCTATATATCTTAAGGATACCACGGTATAATGCCGAAGGATCCGGAGGAAGGCCGTCCGGCCAGTGGGCGCCGAGCTTAACAAGTTCCCGGGCCGACTGCTGTACAGCTGTTTGTGGTGCACTGCTTATAAGTTGTTGAGTTGGTGGGGCTATAGTGAGTTACTGCTCCTACTGTCTGTCCACTATCCATCAAGGTGCCAGAGTCGCTCACTTGCACCAGTTGTTGTAGTACTAACTGTCAATATTTGTGGCGCTCCAAATCCGCAAATGCGTTCTTACACAACTGAAAAGTTGTCATTTTGCAGACGTAGCCATATTATATCAAGCGTGTGATATGTACGTATGTATCAGTGTAAGATAATGCAGCCAAAAATCGGCCACGCTGAACAATCGCACGTAATTCGTGCGTTTCATAATTCACAAATAATAATTAATAATCTTATCTCAAAGTACTTATGCAGGCAAAAAAATATTACAGTACCTATATGCATTTATTTTAAAATTATTCTTACATTGTCATGGCATAAAAGTATTAAATAAATTAGCTACTTGGAAACAAAGCGGCTTGTTGAAAGCAAGTCGTTATCCGAGTTTTCTTTATCTAGATTTGATACTTAGTGTGATATAAATATTAGTTTATTAATAATTTTTAATCGTGATAGACGAAAGAGATATTTACGCATTGCCAAATATTTTAATACCTTTGCTGGCGCAGCCCCAACGAACTTCTGTTGCCACTTGGTTTTAAGGATTGATGGTATGCCTATTTTGTAGTCTTATTACGAAAAGAAAAAATAAGATTTTGAATTAAAAAAAATGGCTTAAATTTCAAATTGAATTTAAAAGTTGCAAGTTAAGCAAATTTCAAAATAGATTGTCAGAAGTTTTAGGTAAACATTGATCGAACATTAATAATGTCATCGTAAATACGTCATCGTGTACAGTAAAGACCTTTGGGCACGTACTAATAGATCTATCTCATAAACACTTTTACTAGATCAAATGGTTGGGTATTTACTATTGAATAACGGTCTTACAAAAAAATACGATACATCTTAGGATAATTATTACGTTTAGGCTGCCCCGGTCACATTGCCGGGCAGAGTACGGCCTTATAACGTCCTCCTCCTCCTTCTTTCTCCTCCTCCTCCGCCTCCGTGGCCGAACGGTTACCATACCACGCAGAGGTCCCAGGTTCTATTCCCGGGAAAAATATTTATATGGCCTACATTTATTTGTCTCGTGAGTTTGGGTGTGATTTGTGGTTGTCTATGTGTGTGTCCATGGCACCCGCGACACAGGGTTTCCCTAGTGCGGGACTATGTTGAGTGTGTGCGTTATTATTATAATGAAACAATTTTTTAAATTCTTTAATATAGTTATATTAGTAAATAATTTAGGAATCGGGAGGAAACTAAAATAATTCAGTTATAAATTTGATACTGTCAAACTTTGAGTTTTTTCTTTTTGGGTTTGACAGGTAGAGGGCCCGCCATTTTGAACACCGTACTGAAAAAAAAAAAATTACCATTTTGTTTATTCTTTAAATAAAGCTAATAAAAAAGAAAACTCATAACAACGTGCAATAATCCGCAGGTAAAGGTACGTCTAGGTCAACTTGTTTGAATATGGAATGTCCTTGAGAAATTACTTCGGTTATATCGCTAGATGGCGTTGATCATTTTGTAATTGCTTCCTAAATCGAGGTTATAATGTTCTCTTTGGCCCTTTTCAGGAATGTATATTTTGTAAGGCCATGTGTACCTATTTGTACGTGAAATAAAACAGTTTAACAATAAATTTGGCCTAATAATTATTACGCCTTTTGGATTCAGAAATGATTTAATTGAGTTGACGTCAGTCCAAATATACCGTTCGCGCGGTACTTTTAAGTTGGTATCTTTACCTGCAGATTAGACACGCTAACGAATTTGGGTTATATATTGCACATTTGCATTGAAACACCCGCTTTCAGCGTGAATATCTTCAATGCCTTCAAAGTGTCAAAAAAAATGTGAACTTAAATGAAAATCAATCTTAGATAAGATCTCCTTTGATTGCAACTGAAATGCAGCTTATAATCCATGACACAATGTAGATTTTTATCAAATGTTTCATTGTTGTACAATTCCATGCGCAGTGATAATTTTGTACAAGATATAGCACAAAAATACAACTACTTTCGTAAAAAAAATATATACTCACTGGCAAGTTGTGCAGATCGGGCTAAATTTACAAAATACTGAAAAAAAAAAACAATTTCACATTAGATGACTTTTACTAGAGCTGCAAATATGCTGGATATTCGAAATTAAAGCATGGTGATGATACCTTGAATGAAACGGAAGTTTAGTATAAGCATGTTGATTAATGGTTCATCCCTAAAATAGAAATAGACTTTCCCCAAGGTTTGTGCATACTTCATTATAGACAAAAATAATGCGAATAATATTATAATTACTCTAATGATGTGGTCTTGAATAAGAGAAATTACTGTACTGTGGTTACCTGACTAATGAGATAAACTATGGGAACTCTACCTCTCAAATGCTGCCTAGAACCATAGAAAAATTAGTTTCTTCTTTAGGGTATCGAACCAGATATCACCTCATTCAATACCCATACCACGAACAACTCTGTCATTGACCGATAAATTCTGAATCATACATACATACATCATCGGAGAACAGTATCGGTGGCCCAACGGTTTGCACTATGGGCATTGGATAAGAAAGTCCCGGGTTCGACTTCCGGTAGGATCAATTTGGGAAAAGAACTTTTCTAAATTGGTTTTTATCTGGGTGTTTAAGGTAATGCGCCTGGGTAAATTCCGTTGCTCTCATACTCATAGCAAAGGGAATTCCTGAGACCTGATAATTGGAATGGTCTTGTGTCTGAAACAAACTTTTAACGGCATTACTTAGCCGGAAGAACAGAGTGTTATGTAACTGGGTGTGTCTTTCGGACTAGCCGGTGGGAATTGAACCCTAGACCGCATTATCTATCGCCCTGAGTGCTTCTTCACTCACCGCTAAGACAAACGGAGCAGACATATCCAATGGTAAGCAGTTCTCGATGGCAAAAGCAGGCGGTACGGTAATCCACACGGCCTCTGCCCGGAAGGACGAGTTTGCTGCGCTCCGAGCCTTCGGGGAGGAATACCCACTGGAAATATAACACATTAATATTTTATGAAAGAACTTCAGACGACTTTAAGAAGTGATTGCAAATGTATATAATTTTATATATCAGTCTGAATTTAAGGCTTTGAAGTAAGACAAGGGATTGTAAGATTGGTGTTTAAGCCATCTAAAATATATGTACGGACAACGGCACATCAGACTACACATTTTTGTTCAAAAATCGGCTGCAGTGCAACGGAACAAGATACGTCAATGTGTAGCTTGATGTGCTGGCGTGTGTACATGAATGGTTTTCGAAGGTTAATTTGACCTTGGTATAAGGTTGATTTTTCACAGAATGTGCAGATATTTTCCCGTAGATTGACCGATATGAGATCACTTTAAAGTTGACCGTACATTAAACATAAAATTAAGTCTAAGGGTCTATATTACACAAAAGAATATTGTAAATAACAGAACTTCCATTTATGTATAAAGTCTGTCTTTTTGTGAGACGGAGTAAAATGACATTTGTTGAGATGCCAGTTTTCATAGAATTTGAAATAGTTATGTAGTAATAAAATTTTTATTGAATTGATATTCAAATATTTTTTGTGAATTTACTCCACTAATTTGTTATAATTATCAATACAAAGATCGAACGCTCAGAAAAAATTCCTTCGATCCGATCGGATTCGAACCGACGCCTTCTTGCATACCGTGCCAGACGCTATACCAACTAAGCCACGGAACGAACCAACGGACCTCACGAATTTTTCTATGTGCTTGCGTCGTGTCTTTGTATTTGGTTTTTCAACGACTTTTTAGTCTAGTCGTATTACAAATAATGAAGTTGAAATTATCCATTATTTTATATATATAAAAAGGGATGTATCCAATATCTTTGGTGTCTTTTTATTTGAGTAAATAAAACCAAATAAACAATATAACTGCAGCGTCCTGAATGAATTCTGTATTATTAACCATTCTTGTCAAAGAAGGATCTTGGCTACATATAAAATCACTACGGCGATCAACTGCGAAGCGAGTACTTTAAGTGACGCGCGGCCGCTAGACCTCTGCCCCCGCGCAGATTAATCCGCGCGTTGATGCAGATTTGCGTCTCCGTCACCGTGCCCGTGATTCCGCGCCCCGCGCCCCGTCGCGGTGCAGTGTGTTAATCGCCTAAGGGTGGCAAACTAGAGGATGAATCCGGTTTAGCGCGCTTTCCGGTAACCGATTTCAATAAAACTTGGAAAATAGACGTAATTCCACGAACTTTTGAGGTCGGTTTTTTTTATAAAAAAGTATAATTTATTGTTACTTCATATACGATTATGTACAAGATGCTGTTTATGATTGTTGCTGTAGTTTTTGTTCTCATCATGGCGTCATTGAAATAACTCCCATTCAAAAGTCAAGGATAAATATTGGACTGTCTCCATGGCCGAACGATTACCATACTGGTCTGCCACACAGAGGTTCCGGGTTCGAGTTCTAGGCCGGGAGAAATATTTGTATGGCCTACATTTATTTCTCTCGTGACTTAGGGTATAATTTATAGTTGTCTATGTGTGTGTCCATCGCACCCTCGACACAGGGTTTTCTTAGTGCAAGGCTATGAGTGTCTTTAAAAAAATATTTAAAGAAACTGTGTCTATTGGCATAAAAACAAAAAAAAATGTAAATTTTATTAATTTTGGATGGTAAAATATTTTATGAAATTTGACCAACTTCTGGTGTCCCGATTTTTTTCCTCCCATACAATGTCATGATCCTTCCATAAAACTGAGTTGATCAGCACTAAAAATATTTTGATAAATTTGATTCATTTTTATGGACAACTGACGCTTGACCAAAAAAAATATTATGCCAAAAGTATTTTCATACAAAAAGACTTAATGGTTCCTAAGACAGTTTCCTTGTATCTTATATGGTTCCAGATTTCAACGTACTGTCCCATTTAAAAAAACACTGAATCTCTGATTAATGTATTATGTGGCGCCATCTTTTGACACTCTATCTAACTACGTAGTTAAGCGCTGTCATTTTAAAAAACTATTAGAAAGTTGTGGTTATGCAATGCTCATTCATATGCAACATAACATTAAGATAGAATTATCTTACATGTTACATATTATATTTAATCGAGTCTCTCACCAATAGATACTGTAATAGTCCCTCAAGCGAGGGCACTTTGAGATAGAGCCCACCAGTGATGTCACAGCCTTGTTGCAACAAGCTCAATTGCTTGTCTAGAGAGCACACGTCGATGAGGACTTGCTGTTTCTGTGAAAAGAGAATATGTTCACATTTCACGATATTGAAACCTCAATGCTGTGGGATTATGGATACAAGAATAAAGATTTATGAATTTTAACGAATTTAATTTGGTTACAAAAAAGGATAAATTATTAAGTAGTTAATGCAATCTCCCTCCCCCGCTTGCTTTCATCCAGTGATTGATAAGTCAAATTCCTTACTCTTCAAGCTACTTTCACTGCCCCGGTAGTATGTCGTCTCGATAAAGCTATTATATCCACATTTAGCTCTCAAATTCGAAGGATAGACGTCACATATTTATGTCTTCGCAAGCGCCGCGGCCAATGAGTGCAAAAGATTAACATAGTGCCACACGTGGCTGCACGGTCACAGCTGATTTTAAAACATTTTGTCAAAGCGACAAACGAGATGAAAAGAAATAAAAAAAAACAACCAAATTGATATTACATAATTATTGGAAAAAGGTGAAAATAACATTTTTAATACATGAGAGTAATTAGAAATACGTAAATAATAACGAATATAATGTAAAATATGTACTAAAATCCGATAATTTTTGTTTTAATCTTTGTTGCGGCGATGATTAAACGACAAAGATAGCTATAGACGCAATTTCATATCGTTGTTCTTGTTCTTCGAAATGTATAACAATAGTTCATTACCAAATAAGCAAATTTAGCTTTATCAATTGAAATAAATATTGTCACGGGGAGGTTTATCACACATATACTGCCATGCTACGGCACTGGTGATGCTCTAAGTAACATGCCATTTTCCCGGGGCCAATTTGACGAGTTTTGCGTGAGACTTTTTGTATCATTGATTTATGCCTACAATATCATTGCTGTACTTAGCGCGAGACCTGTACGAGTGGTAGTTATCGAGTTCTTAGGTTTTCGCGATTGTTATACATAGGAAATGAAACTATTTTTCCGGATTTAAATCGCGTATATTTATTTTTTCAAACAAAGTGTAGTTATAAAGTGTTGTAGTAGAGTGGTAGTTAATAGCTCTTGCTACACATACTATAATAAACTATCACATTTTGGACCACATATATCCAGGGAAAGAATAACTACACACAACACTAGCGTTGAAAGAAATTGAATCCAAGGTAAAGAAATAAATAAAAAAAGATAATAATTTAATTAAAAATCAAGACGCGATCACTCAAGCTTATCTAAATCCGAGCGATTACGCGTGAAGGCAATTAAATTTGTACTAACAGAATTCGGCTAATATGCACTTGTTTGGCGTAAAAAAATACCTGCGCAGTGAAGAAAACGTTCATATAATTGATGTACTGCGCAGCGGTGTCGGTGCTGCCGGTGACGATCAATATACGGCTGCATATGCGCAGGCCGACACTCGCCTGGCGGCGCATCTGTTGAATGTCAATTAATTGTTGTACAAGATCAAATATTAAAAGAAACACGGCAAAGTGGGAATTTAGCCACGTTGTGTGGACACCGGCAAGTGCCACTACGAGTTAATCCTCGATTACTAACAGAAAGCCAAAACTCACACATTAATAATTTTAACCACTATGAAATCTTGATAATAGTTGCTCGTAGTTTCTAATTCAAAAGGAAGTAACAAACTCTGGACTGTTATTATAATTTAATGGTGGCACTTCACATGGCTATTCGACCCCTCCTACGTAAAGTAAATATAGATAAAGCGCGTTTCTTTAAAACTCGTTCTCGAATAAAACTGAGAAATGCTAAAGTCACGGGTTATGCTCATTTTAGTGAATGCTCCCCTGTAAACTTGGCAATTTCGACATACGATACGTTACGTAGGAGGGGTCGATTTGTATTATCGTAATTGATATATTTGGCAAACAATCACCATGTGTAAATAACATGTGTGACTAAGTATATGTCTTGTTTGCCTATTCGACAAACAGCAAACACCAAACTCGCATTACCTCAGTGATCGCCAGTACGGATTCCGACGAGGGCGATCTACTGGGGATCTTCTTGTGTACGCATCTCATCTATGGAACGAGGCTATAGAAAGACACGACGAAGCCCTTGCATTGAAGCTCTTTAGATATTTCTAAAGCCTTTGTCAGGGTCTGGCACGCAAGCGTTTTAAGCAAGCTTCCCTCTCATGGACTTCCCACTGACCTTTGCAATTGGATTTCGGATTTCTTGAGTGAACGTTCGATTCGAGTGGTCTTAGAAGGCTACTCTTCGGAACATCGGGCGATAGATCCGGAGTTCGTCAGGGGTCCGTACAGTCCGCAACTCTTTTTCGCTTTCTGCTGCATATCAATGATATATTAATTCCAGGTACCCTTGAGTATGCTGATAACAGCACAGTTGTGAACAGATACTTGACCAATGAAGGGTCAGTGGAGAAGAAATCTAGTCTTGTCGATAGTCCATGATTAGTCGTTTGAATTTGACACTTAAGGCAGTCTCCGATTGGAGCGATGCCAATCTTGTCAAATTTAATGCTACCAAAACGCAGGCGTGTCTATTCTCCACAAATCGGAGTCCCTTTCACCTGACTCCGACTTTTCGAGATATATCCATACCGATAACCGACCGTCTCCAGCTACTTGGAATGGACCAGTCATCAAATCTGAAATCGGCAGATACATTGAATCCATGGCCAAAAATGCAGCCAGGAAGCTTGGCATCCTTTCCAAGGTGAGACGTTACTTCATACCGGGACAGTTGCTTCAGTGGAGGAGGTGGAGTACCCCTGCCACTTATAGGGTGGCTTTGCTAAATATCAACTGGCCACCTTGGATTCAATTGACAAGCATGCCAAGAGGCTTATAGGTGACTCGGAATGTGGAGGCGAAGCTGCAGAGCCTTGAACACCGCCGTAAAGTTGCCTGCTTATAGGTATTCTATAGGATATATCACGGAGAGTGTGCGATGGAATTACACGATTTAATTCTGCCTTCCCCTTTCCATCACCGGGGGACTAGACGTGGGCTGGAATTCCACCCCCATGTTGTGGATATTCCCAGGATTCGCACGAAGCGTTTCGCTCCCACATTCATATGGCGAGCGGCTAGAGTGAAATTCCCTACCTGCGGACTTATTCCCCGAACGCTATAACTTGACCTTTTCAAGGCGAGAGTGAATAGGCATTACTTAGGTGTGCATGCTACATTGTCGACCTCATCATCACTTTCCATCAGGTGTGATGAAGGTCAAATGCGCACTTATTTTTTATATAAAAACAAATACCGCGGGTTGATTGGTTTCTTGCACTCCAAACTAGCAAACATCGAGTATATAAGCAGAAATAGAGACGAAATAAGGGCCATATATTCCTGGTAACACATTAGCGATACAGCTCTTATAAACATCAACTCTCGTTTGCACTGAATTATAGACAGGCCAACTACTGACCTGTGTGTACGTCTCCGTATATTCCAAAAAATATTCTGTATTTATTGTAATATAGATAATATTTCTAACAATGCCGTACTGTTCTATTCGGTAGTGTAGGAAAAACAGCAAAACATCTAATTACAAAACAAATCACATTTCGTCGGTAAATAAATATTAAATATGTAATTTTGCAATTCTCGACCATTATGGCAAAGCTCAAGTTAACTGGTCGATTTGAAGTGAAACAGTTGACGACACCCGTCAATTGTTTCGAACTCGGGCTAGCCAATCGGAGCGCAGTTGTCACAGTAATGATATAGCAGAATAGTTTTCAAATAAATTAAATGACATTTCGTCTCTATTTCTGGTTATATACTCGATTGCTAGCAAAACAAGGCAGGTATCTATGATATTCGAGATTTCAATTCAAATTGGCACATGTGTCACGCCTTCTAATCACTTCTATCGTATTGATTGTTCTCAGTCATTCTCAGACTATTTTTTTTAATTTTTACACACTTAGCCCTGTACTAGGGATACCCTGTATCGCGAGTGTCATTGAGAATTTAATGTAGACCATACAAATATTTCTACCGGCCTGGGAATCGAACCCGGGACCTCTGCGTGGCAGTCCAGCATAGTAACCATTCCGCCACGGAGGCGGTCATTTCATTATATTGTTCACTATTTAATTTCCGTGGCAAATTTTATTATTTAAATATTCAAGCATGTTATCGTGTAATTATTAAATAATATTTCACAATACAATACTGGAATATTAAATAATATTGCACGGTAAAAAAAATCGAAAACTTATATACTAAAAATTACCGCGGAAATTAGAAACGGTCATTCTCGGACTAGTGAATAGCTCAATCAGGAAAACGCGCTACTACTAATTTTCATATAATATTTAGAAGCGCAGTTGCAGCGTCAATGTCGTGACACGCGGGCGCCACTTTTGCAGTCACAATTAGTGAACTAATAAAAACTACTGAAGCACTACAGACTTGTGATTGTGACTTTTATATCGCACGGACTTTTGGTTAACCCAATACATACTTAACAACATGAAATTAAATTCTTATTTTGAATGAATGTAAATAACTGCATTATATTCCAAATTGTAAGTTACGTCCATTCGCGTTGAAGGGGACGATGTGACGTAAACCCGCGTTGCGTAAACACTTCTAATTACTGCATATATGAGCCACGCACAATAAACGTGTGCAAATGTGCATTCTATGGAGATTAATAGGCGTGACTGCGACGCAATCGTAATTACGCATTCTTGCTTTCAGCACAAACCAAATTCAAGTATGTGTAAATGTATGAAAATCGGGTTTGAAAGAACGAATATACATTTATTTGACTATCACAAATGACACCGTACAAGTAAAAAAGAAACTAAACGGAAAAAAAAGAAAAAACATAATCAACGCTTTCAAATGTAAGACGCAAATAAATAATTATAAAACAAAACAAAAATAAAATTAAACAAAAACACACGATTATCTATATCCACGTGCAGACAGGCATATTTGTCTGTGTCTGCATATTTGTCTGTACGTCAAATATTTTTCCAAATACAAGTAACCAATGACGAATACAAACAGCCGTGCCGCCATATTTTACCGTATTGGCATATCGTTGATGAATAATTATAAAACAAAACAAAAATAAAATTAAACAAAAACACACGATTATTGATATCAACGTAAACAATTATTTATTTATTCAAAATACATGTCATAACAATACAAGTTCCACTAGGCTAGTACTTGTTACTATGATACACGGGTATGGCACTTGTTAAAGTATAAAGACAACAAAATGTAACAAAAGGTTTGGGTACTTAACGGTAAAAAAAAAATTAATTACTTACTCTGGAAATATAGCAAAGCCCCATAGCTAGTGCTCCCGCCAGCAGTGATTCTCCTGGCTTTTCCTCGTGTGGTTGGCTTTTTATTAGATTCACTAATCTGAAATATTTTTTCAAATTTTTTCAAAAAATTTCAACAAAAGGTATTCACAAAATAAGGAACAGGGTTAGCTACAATCTTCACTGGCAAGTAAAACGGGACTGAAAAGGCTTACATTGTCCTGATAGTACCAATGACTTTAATTTGCGAGTTAATACATTGTGAAGGCAAACATCTGCCACGTTGAAGAAGGTTCACAACCCCTGGAAATACATGTAAAGTCCTCAACTCACATCAGATCAGCTTGCCAGACTGAAGCCTAGCTAGGGTTGAACAATGGGACAATAATGATGACGAATAACGTGGCCATACGCTTTGAGCGGGACAGGGACAGGCACACGTGACATTAATTTGAACAAAATGACGCCAAAGCGAATAATATATAAAGCCAAACAAGATTAGTTGTTTTTTAATTTCTGATCACTAAACATTTTTAGTTCTTTGTTTAAATTTTTTAAATCATGCATTTCGTAACTATCATAAACAAGTGTTTTATTTTTAAAACAATAATAAATTGAGATGCGTCCTGCTCTGAGGGAAAAAAATAATGGTCACGTTATGTATGAAGTATATTTTTTCCAAGTTGGCTAAGAAAATGAATATACAAACCTCATTTTAATAGTTTTCTCAACAAGTGTAAATAATTCATACTGTCCATCAATTTGTCTTACATCTAATGGTTTGCCGGGTGATGGGTAGAGGTATTCACTGTAAATAAAATTATTTAAAACACTATATTCAGAATGTTGGTTTGCACATTCGACTTTTGTACTATCCGAAAAACAGACAGCAACAAAGTATGTGATGCATTTAAGTGATATTGTCCGGCCTGCTTTAGTTTTCATTAAGCGTCACACGTACAATTGTCTGTATTGAAACAGATTTTCATCGCATTACGGTTTTATGCTACTGGTATTTTTCAAGTAGTAATTGGTGACGATATTAATGTTCATAAAACCACTGTGTCGGGAGTAGTTTATAAAGTAAGCAAAGAAATAGCAAAGCAATTCCTTCCTAAGAGCATGCTTGGAAAACAATGAGATAGATGGTCATCTCCTGGGAGACAGTGCTTATCCATGTGGAAAGCATCCATTTGTCAATCAAAGTACAAATGCGGAAAAACTTCATAATGAACCCCAAATTAGGACAAGAAACACGGTTGAAAGGACATTTGGAGTGTGGAAAAGGAGATTTGCATGCCTTTCTCAAAAGCTAAGGCCTAAACTGGAACACACACTAGCTGTAATTGTGGCAACTGCTGTACTATCTCTCTGTACTCTCCAGCAAAATGACAATGTGTCCATAATTGATTATGACGACTTTGAAGAAAATATTGTAACAAATTTAAATAAGCGCAACGTATTTTATCTGATGGAAATAATTTTCACCTATACACTATATTTTATCACTATTATAACTGAATATAGGAACACAAAATAAACAACATATTGGAATGTATAGTTTTTATTTTAAGTTGATGAAACTCTTAATTTAAAGATGTCATAATGACTAAAAACATAAATCATATCTGAAAACTCCTTCTTTTGAATTCTAAGTCCAATTTTGCACTCTCTAAAACTACTTTTTATAAAATCTTAGTTTTTTCCAATTTCATCAATTCTTGTAGCCGTTGAATATCCAATATTTCTAATCTTTTAGTAGTTACAGCATTGTTCATATGTTTTTTATGTTTTCTTTTTATAATGGAATTACTAAGCTTATTTATATTATTTTTCTTCGTTTCAGTTAAACACACTCTTTATTTTTGGTGTTTTCAACATCCTTCAGAGGTTGTGAAATTGTTCTTTTGGCTGTTTTGCTTCTGCGACGGATTGGATTTCATTAGGCATCAAATTTTCGTTATCGTCCATTATAAGCACCATGTCTTGTAACGTTCCAACTAATGCTACTTCATTTTGTTCTTGTGTGTCAACTTCAGTAAAAATTAAAAATATATTTATTAATATACAATATTTATATAATAACTTATATATTGTTATATAAATATTGTATTACTGTTTGGCAATACCTGCTGATGGAATATACAATGAGACTATATAAATGTATTAAACCCTACTACTGGACCATTTTTTTTTTATGGTAAGCAGTTCTTTTAAATAACTATGTATGTAATTTGTTTGTATTATATAAATACACCATGGAGCATGGGAACTTAGATCACAATAAATAAAGGATTATAAATTTATTTCATTATATATTAATAACAAAACAATATGAAATGATCATCATATTTTGTTTACAATAATTTTAAGTTAACTATTTATTAACAAAATTGTACACTCTACCTTAGTAGTTGACGAAATAAGAAAACACTTTGGATTTACCTAAGGTGTAATATGGTGCTGATGAGTCAAATTCATTTAGTGACGGGTTTGAATTGAAGAGTTAATAAAGCCACAATTTTCTCATCAACGGTGGTTGTTTTCGGACACAAGTAATCCCTCCGGTCTTGCACATTTCAGACTGAAATAATTATTTGACAGAAATACATTAAATTAGGTATTATTGTATAACACATTGCTGCTGAGATGCTGCCAGTGAATATAATAATTATAAGAAACAACCCACCTTGTCATATTTTTTCTTGCTTTTTTCTTCAAGTTATCACACAATGTGTGCAACTGCTTCTCATTCCTAACATCAGTTTCCGAGACAGCAACATCCACGCTTGTTTCTTGGCCTCTAGAGTAGCTCCATCTATTTTTTTATTGTCGATTACACACACAAAATCTTTGGCTACTTCGATGAGAAGCATCTTCTCCCATTCAGTGAAATGTCCACTGCATTTTCCGCTTTCCATATTAACAAAAATTTGAAATCGCAATCAACAAGATGTATGTACAAACAATAAATAATACCACGTAGCACACAACGGTTTGACGCATGACGCTGTTTTTAAGCAAGTTTTATTTGGCAAGGGAGTCGGACGCATAGCCACGAATATATAAATTATAAACTAAAAATATTCTATTTACATTATTTCATAAATAAAATAGTATATACTTACTTATTTACACTCGGAATAAAAGTTACTACAAACAAAATTAAGATTAACAAAAAATTCTATTAAATAAATCAATTTTAGAGTCATTCTCTTCGAAAGATCCATCTAGCGGCAGATAAAGTAACTACTTACTAACTAGAAACGTAATTTGTCGGTTACATAATTATGGAACCATTCGTTGCCTATTCAGAAGCGCAAGTAGATTTAACTGACGTTTGAACTCTGCTTAACTTTAACTAATCAATAAATATTGAGAGCTTAACTGACTACTTCAGAAACCGGGCATAAGCCAGGTTTACAGCAGAGACATTGCTTTATTATTCTCTTCTGTCCTTTTCTTACTAGCAATGAAGGACACCAATGCAATGAACTAAAAACAGGCATTATAATTATTTCTGGCATCAAGCCATAATATGAGCATTACTGCATTCAGTTTTCAAGGGTGAGGGTACTGGTGACTTGTTAAGTCCCAGGGTTACTAGGCAGTGCCTCTCAGATTTTTGAGATTTAAAGTGGCACTGCAATATTACGTCACTTAATACCTAACAAAAAAATAAATTGATTCACTACAGTACCTTTTATGAAAATGGCAGCCAATAACAGCAAGTTGATTTCTCGACTTCTGCATGAGGTGCGAATTGGCAAATGCTATTACTGCATCCAGTACGTGTGTAAGGGCCTTCGGATCCTCAGATATGTATGATTGGTTGGGGTTTGTGTCCACTACTATTACCAGAAGGCTGCTGTCTGAGGGTACTGGAAAGTAGATAACATAAAACGGTTTAGGGCAATTCTCTGCCACATGATAGTGTGAGAGTATTGTTGTCTACTGCTGACATACAGCCGATGCCCTAACATACTTCATCTCTTAACCAACCAATTGGTTCTTGATAAGTACAAAGTAAAGTCATACAAACTTTAACCATAAAATCCAATTTGGTATAACTTCCTGATTTTTTCATTTGTGAAAAACATTTTAATAAGCTTTCTAAGCTAATTCGATATTCAATGTATATTTACTTAAACACAGAATTTATGCAGCAGTAGAGTTCCTTGTGAAAGAGTTAGAACAGGGAAATACTGCAACCTTACCTATTTCTTCTGCCAAGTAATGTTGGCGTCGCTGCTTTCAGGTTTTGAAAGGTAAGGGTGCTGGTGAAATTACAAGCACATGGGACTTGTCAACTTGTGTCTCAGGGTGACGGGCGATGTGGCAATGCCTCTCAAATCTTTGCGATTTAAAACTCTAAGTGGCACTGCAACAGTTACGGACAGGCATGTAGTTTACCATAAGGCATACGGCTTGTTCATCCCTTCACTCGATATTATAAAAAAATAAATAAATTTCAACCATTCAACTGGAATTCCTTTAAAATATCTCTCTTTAATGAGTAAGAAAGCTCTCTGAACAAAAATGTTGCTAGGTGATAAGTTAGGTAATAAGGATTTAACTGCCTTGTGGTCGAACAGTCACCATACCAGACTGCCACAATGAGGTTCCAGGTTAGATTCCCGGGCCGGGATATATATTTGTATGGCCTACATTAATTTCTCTCGTGAGTTTGGGTGTAATTTGTGGTTGTCTATGTGTGTCCATAGCTCCCGCGACACAGGGTTTCCCTAGTGCGGGGCTATGTTGAGAGAGTATGTGTGTGTGTGTGTGTGTGCACTACTGACCGTCATCGGGATTTATTCCATAGAGACTATTGTTAACTTCAAAGCTCAAAGTCAGAAATCTGAAGGCACTCTTCGACATAATGTAGCTAAATACAATGTAATTTAATAAATTTCGAAAAGTATAACCTAAATATACGCCGAATCATTGAAACTAGCATTTAACACAAATGGTACAGCTAAATCATGTAACAAAATTACACAATCTTATGTTAAAAGTAGTGTTAACATATTTTAATCTTGGGTTTAACAGCAGAAATAAACACCGAAACAAGCGTTTTTAACCAAACAACAGCTTACCGTCGTCATCTGCCATTTTCAACGGAAAGTTAACAAATCATATAGATTTCATTCACTTTGTTTTTTGGGAATTCGACAAACTAATGTTCTTCAAACAAATCAACAGGAAATATAACAAAAACAATATTTAACAAGCTCGCGATTCGTAACCAAACAAATCTCTGTCAGAGTGACAGACTGAGAGACTGACTTCACTTCACTTTTTATTTTTATGGCTCCATCAACACATAGAATGAAGATTTTGCCAATGTCACGGTGCGTGGTTGTAGTAGTAGTAGAAGTACTCAGGCGAGAATCTAAAACAAAAGACACAGTACAAACATGTAACACAGATTTTTAAATATATATATTATTTAACAGGATGAATTTACTTAGAGTAGAAATGTATGGGAGAAACACAAAAGTTAAAAGATTGTTTATGTTAGTGAGGCGGGGGAATTTTGGAGGTAGCAAATTATAAAGCGGGACAGGGTTATCAAAAATGATCGAACGACACAGGTCTATGGGGAACTTAGGGTCGTATTCCAGAACTCTACTCAATACTCAAGTCAGGGCTTGAGTATTGCAGTGAGCACTGAAAATCATACTCAAGTCCTTGCTATTAGGGTCGTATTTCCAGTGCTTGAAATCATACTCAAGTCTGCTCAAGTCCTGACTTGAGCATTGAGTAGAGTTCTGGAATACGACCCTCAGACTGTGGAATTTTCCATCCTCCTTATTATATTTGCCAATATTTGCACCTACTAAATCTATGATTTGCACAGATAATTTTGTCGGAGATGTGTCAAATTGACATTAAAGGTTTTTTTCATTCGTTCCGAATGGAACAGGCGAAGGTCAGAGACCATTCTGCCTTGTTCTAATTACTTTCGACCGAAAAACGGAATATTAAATGTCAATAAGAAAATAATTGAAGAATATGAGATAGATAGATATTAAAACTTAATTCACTTCCATGATAACTTATTTGCTATAATTACAAGTTTTCTTTTTAAAAAACCGCCGTCGGGAATCGTTCGATTGGATATCGTTCTCGAATCGAAGGGCGCTTTCCGAGCTATTCAGAACTTTCGAGTTAAATGTTCGATTCGGATTCGAATATCGTTATCCATAAAATGTAGGAACGCATTAGTCTTACATGAAAATAAATCAGTAAAATTGAACAAATACCAGATTTTATATAAAATAATAAGAGATTTATATGTTGAATACGACAGCTTGACGTTCGATTCGGGTGTTGTGAATAAAAATGAAAAGAAATCAATCGACAATTGAGTTATCGTAACTTCTTAATCGACCCTCAGTTCCGAATCGGCAAAATGACGGTCCGAAATGTCACAGGTGTCCGAAGTGTTGTTTTATCTATAGGTGTACAGGCGATGTTCGTGTTTTGTCGGATTGGAATCGGCCTTAGTGCACAAGCGAAATCCGAAATGGGTTCGAGTTTTCTTGACTTGTATAGTCTCGCATACGGAAGGAATAAGAATCGGGTGCAGTGCACAAAAGCGCTAAATATATAACGATTTTCCGCCAAAAAATGTTAGAAAATTAAACTGTTGAAGAAAATTACAATTTAAGATCTTGTAGTATGGCCAATTAGACGCCTTAGCCTATCCCGAACGATCGGTTGAAATTCTACTACTAGTCTAAACTTATTAGTACGCATAATATAGCTCCGTAATGCCATTTAGTTAATTATATTTTATCTAGCGTACAGAATCTCGGTTTTATCCGACGAAGGAGCGGCCTGTTAATTAAAGACAAAAGTAAACAAAATAGGTATTTCGTTCGAAATTCTATTTCTCTAGATTGACTTATATTGTAACAGTTCAGGTTTTAATAAAAGTGTCTCATAACTAAGAATTTTGTATTTATTCAAATAAGTACATATAAAATTTCTACGAGCGATGCTATCATATACTCGTCAATAACGCGTTCGCCCACGCTGGCAGTAGGAATTATTAATCTAATTAATTGTTCCCTTTCGTTGTATGGACAGATGTCATGATGCAACAGTTATTTATTTGTCAAAAGCGCATTCCATGCGCGCCTCTGTGCATACGTTGAGGAATAGATTTTGTGGGTGTTGCTTGTTTCTAAGGCAGAGTTTTATAAAACAAACTTTTTCTTTTTTTATATAATATTAAGTGACGGGACGAACAAGTCTTGCGCCCGATGTGAAGCTACACGCCTGTCTATAACAGTGGCAGTGCCACTCAGAACTTTAAAACGCAAATATCTGAGAATATCATTACAACTGCGGCGGCCACCCTGATATATAAATTTACAAGTTCCATGTGCCTGTAATTTCACTAAAACTTAAAAACTTTTCTGATTAAAATTTTTTAAGCAAAAAAAGTTGAAGCAAAACGTTACGAAGATGCTCAAAGTAAAATTTAATTTCTCGCTTAAACTTTTTTGTAAATACGAAAAATATGCTTATCTCGCTATTTTTGCTTATTCGAAGACTAGGTTCTATAAAAAATCTCAGACTAAGAAAGGAGTCTAATATGAAATTTAGAAAGAAAACCATCTACGTAGTTAGTACTCACTTTTAAGAACGTTTTATGTCTGCAGTCGTCTATTACGTTGCCTTAATGAGCGTTAGGCCTTTCACAATAACTTTTAAAGACCATATGGAATGTAATAGAAGAGAATAACTCAGTTTATTTATTCATTAGAACCAGCTAGTAGGTATAAAAATATTAATGATACTGTGGAACGCCTGATATTTTAAAATAGTTAATGCAAGTTTTTATGTAGGTATTGCTTATACTTAAGTTATGGAAATTCGTTAACGATATGTGATTATACGTCTTCGGAAAAACCAATCGTCGGCAAACTCGATCACCCAGGATCAGCAGCTGTTCAGGCCATGGGAATGCTGTCTGTAGACCTTTTTCGCTCATAGTAATCGTTACAGTCACAAAATGTCTAAAAAGCGGTAAAGCGTCTGGGGTTGACAACATTTCTGTTGAACAATTAAAAAACCTCGGCTCTCTAACAATCTCTGCTAGAGCTTTTTAACGACTATCTGGACTCTGCTCGAATTCCGCGTCTTTGGCGAAAGGCCAAAGATAGCGTTACTAAAACCAGGGAAGCCTAGAAACGATCCCAAGAGCTATCGGCCGATATCCTTTCTGTGTCATATCTATAAAGTGCTGGAAAGAATGCTACTGAATGCGACCAGGGAAATCATGCTGAAACTAGTCCCTGATCCTCACACAACATCTCGAGGACGGGTTTGAGCTGGGTCAAGTAACTGGAGTAGTATTTGTGGATCTTTCCGCAGCGTATGACACAGAAAACCTATAACGGCTTCTGTGGAAGGTGACTGAGCTCACAAACGATCACGCCTTTACACAAATCCCGAGTGAAATTCTCCACAATAGGCGCTTTCACGGCCATCTCCTTTCAGAAAAGAGCCGATGGAGATCCTTAAAATAGCCTTCCCCAGGGTAGTGTGTTAGCTCCAGTGCTATTTAACATCTACACGAATGCTTAGCCTCATGCATCAAACACTAAACGCTTTATTTACGCTGATGATATGGCCTTGACATCTCAAGCGCCTTCTTTTGAAGAAGTCGAAAGGAATTTAAGTGGAGCACTAGAAACCTTTAGCTGCTACTATGATCAAAATTCCTTGCGACCGAATCCGTCAAATACCCAGTCCTGCGCGTTCCACCTGTGTAACCGCGAGACTCGACAGAGGCTCAACATCCGATGGAGGGATGTTCCGATTGCTCCCAGCTCCACTCCAAAATACTTCGGTGTTACCTTGGATAGAGTCTTAACCTTTATACAGCACTGCATTAACACCAAGCAGAAAGTTACCACTCGGAACAACCTTCTGTGCCGCCTTATATCTTGTAAGTGGGGAACTTCGCCACAAACTTTGCGAACGACCGGACTAGCATTTTCTTTTTCGGCTGGCGAATACGCCAGCCCTGTCTGGTGTCGTTCAGCACACACGACCTGGTGAATACAGCATTAAATGTCTCATGTCGAATTATTACTGGCTGTTGGCTGTCCTCCTCCCTCCCTGCAGGGCATGATCTACCTTGGCAAACTTGGAAGTCCCTATATAGGCGACGGACCCAAGTCGGCCGAAGCAAGGAGTGCATGCACGGGTGGGGTTACAGCTCGGAGAGCGCATGTCCTTGTGGTGTCTCTCCCCAGACAATGGCACATCTTTTGTCCTGCCCTGCGTGTCCCTACACCTGCACACGCGAGGACCTGTACAACGCCACTGATAATGCTATCTCAGTCGCTAAGTACTGGTCCTCACAAACATAAACGTCAGAGTTGGCACGCCACGAAAAAGAAGAAGATTATCATTAGGGTCGCTTCATTCAGGGCCTATGCGTCTCCTCATGACTGCAACTATTGACTGATCTAATTAGCCACACTGCCAGATTTTAGATTGTAATATTTTCTTCAATAGAATAGAAATAGAAATTATTATGTTGTCAACTCATACCTATAACTATAATTAAGCACTTTGAGAAATTTCCCAAAATGTAAAGAAATGCGTAGTGTGTTTTAATGTACAGTTGGAGTTTCAAAATGGCCACTGAAAAGAGATATAACGATTTCCCGTGAAAAATGTAAGAAAACTATAAACTACCTATTGAATAAAAATTACGAAAAAAGTCAAAAATTTAAACTAGTGAAGAAATATTGTAATCTAAGATCTGGCAGTATGGCTGTCCCTAAGGACGAAACAGTTTACTAGGTACCCAATGTTCAATCTACCCACACACAAAATAGGAATACATCCTCGTCATGCAACCCAGTGTATAGACATATTTCTCGATTCTGTCAAACATTTTTGGTACAGTCAAGAGCACATGAAGCTTGACACTTTGTACTTTGTACCGTTCTTATCGTAAGCGGCATAGAGTTGGATTTAAGTTTTAAGTGTCAAGGTTGACGTGCTCTTGACCCTGTACGTACGTATCTCTATTGCAGAGTTTTTGAAAAACTATTACACAATGCCAAAAGTCAAAACTGGCGCCCAAAAGTAACTTGTCGAGTTTCACGTTCAATATTTCGAATATTAATAGCAGTAAACTTGATGTCAAGTTAGTACAATGCTTAATATTATCAATGCGGAGTGATCCATCATGCTCACCTCCCACTGGGCTTTGCCTTTGGCTCGTGCGCGATACCATCAGCGCACGAACAAAGTAATTGGACGATTATATGTTTATATTACTTGCTCCGGAGCAAAATTTAGGGGATTGCCGATACTCTTC